GGGGGTTTCGTTTGCTTTTGATGGATCACTAAAGGGGCAGAAACTATCCTCCCCGCTTTGTCTTTTTCTGTTGGGCCCTTTCACCTGTTTTCCCGTGTATCCCTGTTACCAAACATGGAGGACGATATTAAACAAAAATCAATATTTTTTCCCCTTAAAAAAGAACCATTTCTTTTTTTAATTTGAAATTTGTTTATTACCCAAACTTTTTAACTTCTCCATTTTTCATCCTCCCTTTTTCCTTCCTTTTTCTCTTTTCCCCCTCCTTTCCCAGATAGGTTCTGCTTACTTTGATGGTATTTGAAGGGGCTGAGTTTTGGGTGGGACTCCTTTAAAAATCCATGTGACTTTTGATTGAAAAGAGCCCCGTTCATGACTTCAGGGGAAAGGGCATGGTTGGGCCAGGGCAAAGACTTGAGAGCCAGGGCATGACTTGGAGCCCGGGAATGACTTGAGAGCCAGGGCCAAAGACTTGAAGGGAGGGGATGCTTTAATTAATCTATCGTCCTTTTTCGGGATTTTAAAACCAACCCAGCCCTCTGACAATAGAACAAAAGCATTATTTAATTTTTTTATTATCACCTCATTATCCCCTAATAAACATTTGAATCTATCTCGCTAACAAAATCATGCACTAAGCATATTTTTTTATATTGTATCTAGTACATCATAATTACTATCCAAAACATCATCACCCAACTCATGTCCTCACAACACTGCCATCAAAACATCATCTTTCCCTCTCATCATCAGCAACAGTTACTGAGGATGAGCATCTTCATTATTATCTCGCATCATCACCATCACCACCGACATTGTCACCATCGCCAACATCGTCACCACCATCATAACCAAAATCATCATCAAAGATATCCACACTAACATCGTCACCAACATCCCCAACACCGTCACCAACATCAACTAACAGTCAGTGTACTCTCCACCTGAGATTCCAGTTATTCCTAATGAAACAACAGGAATCTCAGGTATCATTATGTATCTCAGTTATCATAATCGGGAATTATGATACATAGTCTTCAATACAAATTATTATATTACAAAACATTCGCTAATGCAGAGAAATTTTCTCCCAAGAGGGAGCCCGGTGGCCTGGTGGCTAAAGCTCCCGCTTCACACACGGAGGGCCCGGGTTCGATTCCCGGCGGGTGGAAACATTTCGACACGTTTCCTTACACCTGTTGTCCTGTTCACCTAGCAGCAAATAGGTACCTGGGTGTTAGTCGACTGGTGTGGGTCGCATCCTGGGGGACAAGATTAAGGACCCCAATGGAAATAAGTTAGACAGTCCTCGATGACGCACTGACTTTCTTGGGTTATCCTGGGTGGCTAACCCTCCGGGGTTAAAAATCCGAACGAAATCTTATCTTATCTTATCTTAAGGGGGAGGCGATCTCTCACATAAGGGGGCAGCTACCCCTCTCATTTCGACATCTGGAGACCAGATATTGATCAAGGGTGTTTTGAAGATTAATCTGTATACTGAAGCAACAGCTCTCATCTTACATGGTGCTTACCAAGCAGAATTAGATTAAGATTAGATGTAGATGAGCTGCAGTTGCCAGACTGCATGTGTGCACCAGGCTCTCCTCTCTTGCGGGAAGATTTATCTGAGGAAGATTCTATTCCCTAAGACCAGTAAAAACTCTTAGTAATACGCCTCTAACCTAACATCATTGCTAGAGGCATATACTCGATAACCTATACCTTGGAGTCAGGGACTCTTCCTTCTATGACTCAGTTAAGTCATCAGAACTGACATCTACGCCTGTTGACATTATGTCAGCCGAAAGTCGACTATAAGCAGAAGTGCTGGGAGCTCCCAAGGCTAAAATATAGTCACGACGAATTAATCGACCAGTGACGATGTAGCTAGTGACCGAATGTAGCCGGAAAGGCCACCCCGCGTAGCCCTATCAGTGTGTAGTTCGTGAAAGTCAAGTTGTGTTGACAACCTTAAGGAAGAACAGAAGAAGAGATACCATAAATGTAACTCTCCTGTGCGCATGAGCACCATGAATAATTACGGAGTAATCCGCTGTACAACTTGTCATTATGCATGTTATTATTGATCGAACAAATATTTAAGGAAAACTGAAGCGAAGATACAGTGTTGAAATGTTAACCAGTTATCTCTGTTAAGCGAGATATCACTAGTAATTCTCCGCACTGTGGGCCCGTCAAGGGAGGTTCCTTGATGGTGGTGAGGGGCCCTTGATCTAGGGAATTGGATCCGTGCTCTAGTTCCCTGAATTGAGCCTGAATACCTTACATCCCCCCCCTTCAACAGGCGCTGTAGTATCCCTACGGGTTTAGCGCTTCCCCCATAATTATAATAATAATTCACACTGTGAACTTTATCCACATATAGAGGTCACAAGTTGAACTTGTGGGCGAGTGATGGTCAAGTCAGGTGATGTTCAACGCTACCAAAGTGACGAAAGAATTGAAGGAAGTGAATACGTTACCGTACAGCGTCATATCTTCAGTCACGTCATCGATACTGACTTCAACGACATGTAACGTCAAGGGCTCCTGCTGTAATTAGCAAGGTAAGTTATGTTTCTCCCAACATCAGCCTAATAATCACTGTAGTGTCTAGGGACAGATGTAGGGGGAGTAGAGCTAACCATCGAAGCAATCATGGGTGGGCCATCATCCAAACACAGGTAAGAGACGTGTCTCGCGTCTCTTACCTGTGTAAGAATGTCAGGAGGGAGAGTTAACGATAGTAACCCATTACATTACAGCTCAGTGGGAACTAAGACAGCCGACATCGAAGGAGACTCCAGGCTGCGGCTGCTGAATTCTTGAGCTGTCAACGTAAAGCTGAGTACTCATGACTAACAGGGGTCTTTTTACATAGTATTAATTCTAAAATCCTCCACAGCTAAACCTGAATGAGTTATACAGTTCGATACATAACTACAGGTCATAAATGGTTTAGCGCTGCTTCTGTAATTATAAAAACTTTATGAAAATGGGACACAGTCAAGAAATGCTACTATACATGAATAAATAAGGTAATCACAAAGCTGTATTGTAGATAATTACATATGTCTAATGACATTTAGGTGCCTCGTAAAATAATTATAAAAATATTTTTTAGAGAGGTGGACCGATGAGCCACAGAAGACCTTGGGGTCAGATGACGCGAAAGTTCCTGTTGAGGGTCAACATGTGGCTTAAGCCCCCACTCAGAAATTTCATTTTTGACAAATTATTAGGGTACCCTAACACCGGTTCACTTAAAACCCAGAAAGGGGCCAGGATTAAAATGACGGGGGGGGTTAAGTGGAGAAAACCGCCCCAGGGCTGTTGCACCAAATTTTATAAACCTGGGGGGTTTTTTATTAAGGGGGGGGGGGGGGGGGGGGGGTTTTTCCCCGGGTTGGGGAATTTTTGGGACATGTTCCTTACATCTGATCCCCCTGTTCACCTATAGCAAGTGGGTCCCTGTTGTGGGTTCCCCGGGGGAACCGTTTAAAAAGGCTCCCAAAGGAAAATAAGACAGGCTCCGATACTCACGATTTTCTTGATTTACCCAACCTTCCTGGTGGAAGTCGTTCCGAAGGTCAACGACCCCGGGGCCCATCCTTGACGAGGCCCCCCAATGGATCAGGGGGTGATCAAACAGGCTGTTACGCTGGCCTCACGCAATTTAAATTTTGAACCCCTGCCCGGGTTTATTTGGAGGAGAGGCTAACTCTCCCCAGGGTTTAAAAAACCCAAAAACCTTTTCTTAACCTCATGATTCCAATGGAAATAAAAAACACACGCCTTTTCTTTTTTGGGGGGTATCGGTTTCTATCCTTCCAAGATTTCTAATCCGGTAATAACTTTTACAAACCCAAATATATTTGTTGAATAAGGCATAAAAATAAAAGATAAGGACGCACGCATAGGCCTACTACTCAACCAGGGAAGTCTGTGGTAAAAGAATTTTGTACAACTCAGGAAATTTAAAAAGGACTTTTCCCACAAGTTTCTTACCGTGTACTGTTTAAGATTTAACACTTAGCGGGATATGGGAATCTTTATTCAGGAAACTTTCGCCACACAGTGGCTTTCAAAATCCCCCTACAAAAAGGAAGGCGAAGGAGAGGGATATGAGGGAATCAGTCCCTCCCTGGGGCGATGGTTTGTCCATCAAACCCCCTTTTTCGGTTTTTCAAACCCTTCATCAGTGTACTGTACCTAAATGAACTTTCAATTTTTACAACTAGGAGTTTATTTAATCCAGGGCCCTGAATGTAACCAAGGTAAAAGGTCAATGTTTATTATAGGACCCATGTATCGAGTCACCTAACTTTTTGGGTTTCCTGGTTACTACGTAAAATATCCAATTTTTTGGGACAAACATTCGCCCTCAAACAAATGTACAATTTATACAAAAGTTTATGAAATCAATTTCCTGGATGAAAATTAATTTTTAGAGAACATTTTTGGCAACTAGAAAAAAATTTTGGAAAAAATAATAGAAATTCAAAAAGATTTTTTTAAAAAATTTATATATTTAATAATGTTGCCATGTCCTCATCCTTTAGAAAAATTTTTTACATTTTCGGAATGGAGAGTCTGTCAAGGAATTTTTTCAAACTACACAGAACATCTTCAATCGGAAAATTTTAAACATTTACCTATGTTTTAAACCGTTAAAATAATAAATATATATATCCCCTATTCCGCCTCATAGGGGAGGATCATTTTAATTTTTTTTGAAAAATATTTTTATATAAACATAATAGATATCTTTGAAGGTTTTCGAGACATTGTAGATGAGTTTATTTAGGTACAGGTCCACATAAGTATAATTATCATACATAGTAACATATGTGTAAATTACCTAGGATAACCCTCTCCCCCCTCCAAAAAAAAAAAAAGACAAAGTGACTTATTTCCATTGCGCCCAGCCAGGGATAGGCTAGTATGGTGCTCCCATAGTCAAGGTATAAAAATATTACACAATATGTAATAATTACCATCGACGACGTTCTCACTGACAGGATGTTCCGCAAGTTTGGCCAAGTGGAAGATAGCAACGAGGGCGAGGGCGGAGAGGATAGCGATGGCCGCGGTGCGCACAGTTTGACGAGTCCTCGGTGCCAGCGACCTGTCATAGAAAACCAATTCTATTAGTAACAGAAAACGAGATTTTTACAGGACAAACTAAACTTTACGAAAGTGATAAATTCGGCATCCTTTTATTTTTGTCCGAGATATTGAAAATCTTGATGACCTAGATGTAAATATAGAACAATGTTTAACCTATAATATCATGCAGTAAAATTATTAAAAATATAGAGATAGGAGGCTAAATAAACTATTTTAGGTTGTCGGGATGAGTATATCACGTGACCAATCAGCTGATTTTCGCGCAAGCAGACGACACAAGTCTGAGGTTGGCTGTGTAGGGTGTGTGTGTGTGTGCGTGTTAGTGGATACCTGCTAGTGCCTCTCTCCTCACATGGTAAGTAGTCACCAGTTATCCCATACAACTAGAGCAGTGCTGCTGGTGCCCCGGCGTGAGGGGGCGAGCACTGGTGACGATCAGAAGGCCAGACGCCAGGCACTGGGTGCTCTGGGTGAGGCTCCTGGTACCAGTACCTGGGTGTTCTCCTCTGCTATATTACAAAGACCAAGGCAGAATTCCTGCCTGGAGGTAGCTGCCCATGTACAGTATAGATACAATAACCGGACAGAGGATCCATGCTGCGAGTAAATTAGCCATGGCGTTCAGAATGCTATATATGCATACATAGTGTGGGAAATACTGAGGCTTGCATCGTTGCGTTAGTATGCCACATGACGAGGCAAGCCTACCTGCCGACTTTCCTAAGACAAATCCTTGCGCTATATCGATTTTAAACTTTGGAGATTTTCCTAGATTTATATGGCATTCAGAAAACTAGATTTGTGTGCCTCGTCGATGTAGGATTAAGAATGAATCAATGAGACTGAGGTAAGGAACCAATGTTGATCACACGTGCACCTTGCAAAGAGAGGGGAGGGGAGTACCTTGCAAGGAGAGGGGGGAGAACCTTGCAAGGAGAGGGGAGGACCTTGCAAGGAGAGGGGAGGGGAGCACCTTGCAAGGAACGTGGAGGGGAGCACCTTGCAAGGAACGTGGAGGGGAGCACCTTGCAAGGAACGTGGAGGGGAGCACCTTGCAAGGAACGTGGAGGGAAGCATCTTGATGCTGCTCACGGGCTCTTAATTCAGGTAACTGGGGCTGCTCCTCTCCTTGCTTGGATCAAACCTGATTACCTTCCATTCCCCTCGCGTTCTCTGATCCCCCTATTTAGCTTTTACCATGAATATATGTTTCCCCAAACCTCCTCCTCCACCCCCCACCATAACCACTACCACCCAGAACCAGCACTACTACCATGCACCACCACTATCACTAGTACTATACCCACCCTATGGTGCCACCACCACTATGCACCACCACCCTATGTACTACCATCCTACGAAACCACCACTATGCATCACCACCCATGTACAACCACCCCCCACCACTATGCACCACTACCTACTAAACCAATCCACCACTATGCACCACCACCCATGTCCCCACCACTATGCAACCCCCACCCAAATTACATACCACCATACCCACCCCCCTATGGCACCACCACCCTATGTACTACCACCACCATATGCATCACCACTTATGTCAACCCCACCACTAGCACCACCACCCAAACGTCCACCACCACCATATGCACCACCACCCTAACGTACCACCACCACTATGCATCACCACCTTATGTCAACCACCACCACTATGCACCACCACCCTACGTGCCACCACCACCACCACTAAGCACCACCATCCTATTTACCACCACCATCACTATGGCACCACCCCCAAACGTACCACCACCACCACCAATGCATCACCACCCTATGCAACCACCACCACAACCACCATTATGCACCACCATCACCACTACTATCACTACGCACCACCACCGCTACTATCATGTACTACAACCACCACCACCCTCCCCATACCAACCATAACACCACGATAACCCCATCACTAACGCAACACACTGTTGCTACTACCACCACTACCATTACCATGATGATCCCATCACTACCGCAACACACTTTTGGGCTACTACCACCACTACCATTACCATGATGACCCCATCACTAACGCAACACACTGTTGCTACTACCACCACTACCATTACCATGACGACCCCATCACTACCGCAACACATTGTTGCTACTACCACCACTACCATTACCATGATGACCCCATCATTTCCGCAACATATGTTGCAAACTAACCACCACTACCATTACCATGATGACCCCATCACTACCGCAAACACAGTTTCTGCTACTACCACCACTACCATTACCATAAAACCCCATCATTTCCCGCAACACACTGTTGTTTACTCCCCACATACCTTACCATGATGACCCCATCACTACCGCAACACACTGTTCCCTACTACCACCACTACCATTACCAATGACCCCATCATTTCCGCAACACACTGTTGCTACTGCCACCACTACCATTACCATGATGACCCCATCACTACCGCAACATACTGTTGCTACCACCACCACTACCATTACCATGATGACCCCATCACTTCCGCAACATACTGTTGCTACTGCCACCACTACCATTACCATGATGACCCCATCACTATCGCAACACACTGTGCTACATACCACCACTAACCATTACCATGACCCCATCACTACGCAACACACTGTTGCTACCTACCACCACTACCATTACCATGATGACCCCATCACTACCGCAACACACTGTTGCTACTACCACCACTACCATTACCATGATGACCCCATCACTATCGCAACACACTGTTGCTACTACCACCACTACCATTACCATGATGACCCCATCACTACCGCAACACACTGTTGCTACTACCACCACCACTACCATTACCATGATGACCCCATCACTATCGCAACACACTGTTGCTACTACCACCACTACCATTACCATGATGACCCCATCACTATCGCAACACACTGTTGCTACTGCCACCACTACCATTACCATGATGACCCCATCACTTCCGCAACACACTGTTGCTACTGCCACCACTACCATTACCATGATGACCCCATCACTACCGCAACATACTGTTGCTACTCCACCACCTACCACTAACACTGCTGACCCTGCACTAACCCGCACACTCTTCACTACCCACCACTACCCTAACACCATACTACCAACTCCACCACCCTACCTCCACTACCACCTCCCTACCACCACTTACCATCTACCACCACTACCCACCACCACTACCTCCACTACCAACTACCACCACCACACCATCTACCACCACCACCACTACCACCACACCATCTACCACACCACCAAGTACCAACACCACACCACCTACACCCACCAACCACCATCACCACACCAACTACCACACCTACCAATACCACCACCATACCACCACCAACCACCAGCACACTACCACCAACTACCACCACCTACCACACCACCAACTACCACCAACTACACCACCACCACTACCGTCACCACCAACTATCACCACCACTACCACCTCACACACCGATATTCCAACATCACCACTCCCCCCCAAGAGATTCTTTGATGCAGTTTAGGGCTCTTGATCCAGGGCACTGAATCTGATATCTCCTTCATTGCATCGAACCTCCGTCCCCCTAGGTGGTGAATAACCTCTACGGGTTTAGGGCTCTCCATGAATGTAATCAATATGTAACCCGTACCACTACCAGCATCAGTACTAACACAATGATGCACCACCACCACGATCACTACTCACCACCACCACAATCACCGCTCACCACCACCACTCCACCACTGTTACAACTATTATCATTACCATCACCACCACCACCATTACCATCATACATCCATTCTACTAACCCCCACCACCACCACCGCCCCACCACCACTACCAATCACTATCACCACCACCACTGCCACACCACCACCACTACTACCATCACCAGCACCACCAGTACCACCATCACCACTACCCTCACCACCACCACCTTACACACCGATATTCCAACATCACCACTCCCCTCCCCCAAGAGATTCTTTGGTGCTGGTGAGGGCTCTTGATCCAAGGCACTGAATCTGATATCTCCTTCATTGCATCGAACCTCCGTCCCCCTAGGTGCTGAATAACCTCTACGGGTTTAGTGCTCTCCATGAATGTAATCCATATGTAACCCGTACCACTACCAGCATCAGTACTAACACAATGATACACCACCACTATTACTCACCACCACCACTGTTACAGCTATTATCATTACCATCACCACCACCACCATTACCTTCATCACTACCGTTACCACCACCACCGTCACCAGCACGGGCACCGCCACCACCTGCGCCGCCACCACCAACACGATTACCACCACTACCACCATCACAACTATAACCACCACTACACCACCACCACCATCACCACCACCATCACCACTACCACCACCATCACCACCTCTACCACCATCACCACCACTACCACCATCACCACTACTACCACATCACCACAACCATCACTACCACCACAACCACCATCGCCACCACCAGTAACTACCACCACCACTAATACCACTACTACCACCACCATTACCACCACTACCACCACCACTACAACCACCACTACAACCATCACCACTACTACCACCATCACAACTACCACTACCACCACAATGACCACCATCACCATCACCACCACTACCACCAACACCACCACCACCACACCATCAACACCACCGCCATCAACACTATCACCACCACCATCAACACCACCGCCATCAACACTACACCACCACCATTACTACCATCATCGCCACCATCACCATCACCACTACCACCACCACCACCACCATCACTACCACCATCACCACCACTACCATCACCACCACTACCATCACCATCACCACCATCACCACCACTACCATCACCTCCATCACCACCACTACCATCACCACCACCATCACCACCACACCACCATCACCACCAACCATCACACCATCGCCATCAACACTATCACCACCACCATTACTACCATCATCGCCACCATCACCATCACCACTACCACCACCACCACAATCACCACTACCACCACCACCACCACTACCACCATCACCACACACCACCATCACACCACCATCACCATCACCACTACCATCACCACCACCACTAACCATCACCACTCCCCACCACCACCACCATCACTACCACCATCACCACCACCACCACTACCATCACCATCACCATCACCACCATCACCACCACTACCATCACCTCCATCACCACCACTACCATAACCACCAACACCATCACCACCAACACCACCATCACCACATCACCACTACCACCACCACCACCACCATCACTACACCATCACCACCACCACCACTACCATCACCATTACCACCATCACCACACCTCCATCACCACCACTACCATCACCACCACACCACACCACCATCACCATCACCATCACCACCACCATCACCACCACCATCACCACCACACCATCACCCACCACCATCACCACCCCCCACCACCATCAACCCACCATCACCACCACCCATCACCACCACCATCACCACCATCATCACCACCATCACCACCATCACCACCACCATCACCACCACCATCACCACCATCACCACCATCACCACCACCATCACCCACCACCATCACCACCATCACCAACATCACCACCACCACCATCACCACCACCATCACCACCATCACACCACCATCACCACCACCATCACCACCACCATCACCACCATCACCACCATCACCACCATCACCACCACCATCACCACCACCATCACCACCACCATCACCACCCCCTCCCTCCAAGACCACTTGTATCAGGTACAAACACTCATGAGAGTGATGACACATTACGAGGTCTTCACAGCAAGACAATGAGTCATAGATTCCCACGGTAGCGTCATTGGCTGATCCACTGATACCATCTTCCTTGTGGAACCCTCCATGTTGCCTCCTCGATTCTGAACTGCTCTTGATCCAAGGGATTTGACTTACCATGAGTCAAAAAGGATTACCTCCCATTCTCTAGGCGATGTTTGAGTCGTGGTTGAGCGCTTTGTGGCGCATTTAGGAGTAAGCTCTGGTTTGCGAGCTGGAGCAGGCGTGGGAGCTGGAGCAGGTGTGGGAGCTGGAACAGATGTGGGTGTCTGGTATGTCACTACTTAGCTATGCAGCACTTGTAATATATCCATCAGAAGTATGTAAACTCTCACACTGACAACACTGGCCACACAGGCGATGCTTCTTACATAACTTGTCACTTCCAGACTTACGTAAGTAATATTGTACGTCTTTGAATGTCTGTATATATAAATGTATCGGGCACGATTGTAGTTTTATATTATATAAATTTTATATATATATATATATATATATATATATATATATATATATATTATAAACAACATGTGGAGTGAATAGTTCAAACTTCGATTTTGTTCAAATGAGAAGCACTTCTTGGAATAACAACTTTAAAATTTGTATATGAAATATTTCAAAAATCATTACTGAATTAATGCAAAAAAAATATATTTAAAATTTGGTTTTTTATTCTTAAATTTTATAAATATCTAAAATATATTTATATATTATAAATTAAAATGCGGTTGATTTTAAAAGGTTTAGGTAAGTATAGCTAAGATTTTTGGTACAAAATTATAATTTTTACATCAACATATATGAAAAAAAATACATCTTTGAAACGTATAAAAAAATTTTAGAAGTCTTTTTTTAATGAATCTTGTAAAGACATTTATCATACGCAAAATGTTGTGATTGGTAATATATACATATACATGTCGTCGAATATTAAACTGGTCAATTTAGCAAGACTCATTTAAAAATTAATCTTTCTAAAATTTTCTCTTATACGTCTAAAGATATATTTTTTTCATTAATGTTAATGTAAAAACTTTTAATTTTGCTCCAAAAGGATCTTAGAAAACTTACCTAACCTTATTATAAGAAGAACAATTTATTTTAGCCTAACCCAACTCAATATATTTTAGATTTGTTTACAATAATTTAATACTAAACAAACATAGTGAAATATATTTTTTTCGTTAGGTTCAGAATGATTTTGGCGAAATTATTGCATACACATATTTTCACTTGCCCTATATGGCAAGATGAGCGTTGCTATTTAAGCCAAGATCGCAAGTTCTGCCTATTCGGCACGACATATATATATATATATATATATATATATATATATATATATATATATAATATATATTATATATATATATATATATTAATATAATGTATGTATATATATATAGTTATAGGTCTTTCGCGTTGCAATAAACACATCAGGAGCTTGCAGTGTTGAAGAAATAGCGCAGGAAATTCAGATAAATTGCTTCAGAGAAACAACTCTGGAATGAACAGTCGTAACTTTCTTGAGTTACTTGGAGAGCCTAACGTGACAAATTGAACACGTTGTGTCATACTAGGTTATATGTTGGTTGTACGTCAAGCCTCGTTGGCCAGCCACCTCTGTGTTGCATTCCTCTCATGTGCCTACACCTCTACGATGGATATTCCTTGTTGTCCTGTAGGATGTATGAATAGACAGTGATAGTCATACCTGACATCCTACAAGGTCACCAAGGGCCGTTAGGGACGAGAACGATGGATTTGTGCTTCGAAGTGGACACTCTGGGGCGTCCCAAGAGATATAGTCTTCAAGGGAGGAGGTGCCTTGATGCTAATGAAGGGTTCTTGATTTAAGGATATGGAGCTACTCTTCCTTTCCTCGGATCACACCTGACTGCTTCCCATTCAACAGGCGCTGTATGACTTTCATTATTATTAATATACACAGCTTTGTGTGACCCATACGGGTTCAGCCCTTATTGATAATAAAAACAATAATATTATTATTATTTCGTGGGAGAGAGCTAAACTCACAGGGGACAGAGTGCCTGGAGAACCGGAAGTAATGAGACTCGATCCAACATATAACATTCTCTAATGTATATTTTACGAAAATACAGAAAAAAAATCAACAGGAGAAAACCTAGCAGAGTGTTGCTGGGTGAGGGTGACAGTTGAGCACTGTGTTGCTGGGTGAGGGTGACAGTTGAGCACTGTGTTGCTGGGTGAGGGTGACAGTTGAGCACTGTGTTGCTGGGTGAGGGTGACAGTTGAGCACTGTGCTGCTGGGTGGGGTGACAGTTGAGCACTGTGTGCTGGTGAGGTGACAGTTGTGCACTGTGCTGCTGGTGAGGGTGACAGTTGAGCACTGTGCTGCTGGGTGAGGGTGACAGTTGAGCACTGTGTTGCTGGGTGAGGGTGACAGTTGAGCACTGTGCTGCTGGGTGAGGGTGACAGTTGAGCACTGTGCTGCTGGGTGAGGGTGACAGTTGAGCACTGTGCTGCTGGGTGAGGGTGACAGTTGAGCACTGTGCTGCTGGGTGAGGGTGACAGTTGAGCACTGTGTTGCTGGGTGAGGGTGACAGTTGAGCACTGTGCTGCTGGGTGAGGGTGACAGTTGAGCACTGTGTTGCTGGGTGAGGGTGACAGTTGAGCACTGTTGCGCTGGGTGAGGGTGACAGTGAGCACTGTGCTGCTGGGTGAGGGTGACAGTTGAGCACTGTGTTGCTGGGTGAGGGTGACAGTTGAGCACTGTGTTGCTGGGTGAGGGTGACAGTTGAGCACTGTGTTGCTGGTGAGGGTGAACAGTTGAGCACTGTGTTGCTGGTGAGGGTGACAGCTGAGCACTGTGTTGCTGGGTGAGGGTGACAGTTGAGCACTGTGCTGCTGGGTGAGGGGACAGTTGAGCACTGTGTTGCTGGGTGAGGGTGACAGTTTAGCACTGTGTGCTGGGTGAGGGTGACAGTTGGCACTGTGCTGCTGGGTGAGGGTGACAGTTGAGCACTGTGTTGCTGGGTGAGGGTGACAGTTGAGCACTGTGCTGCTGGGTGAGGGTGACAGTTGAGCACTGTGCTGCTGGGTGAGGGTGACAGTTGAGCACTGTGCTGCTGGGTGAGGGTGACAGTTGAGCACTGTGCTGCTGGGTGAGGGTGACAGTTGAGCACTGTGCTGCTGGGTGAGGGTGACAGTTGAGCACTGTGCTGCTGGGTGAGGGTGACAGTTGAGCACTGTGCTGCTGGGTGAGGGTGACAGTTGAGCACTGTGCTGCTGGGTGAGGGTGACAGTTGAGCACTGTGCTGCTGGGTGAGGTGACAGTTGAGCACTGTGCTGCTGGGTGAGGGTGACAGTTGAGCACTGTGTGCTGGGTGAGGGTGACAGTTGAGCACTGTGTTGCTGGGTGAGGGTGGACAGTTGAGCACTGTGCTGCTGGGTGAGGGTGACAGTTGAGCACTGTGCTGCTGGGTGAGGGTGACAGTTGAGCACTGTGCTGCTGGGTGAGGGTGACAGTTGAGCACTGTGCTGCTGGGTGAGGGTGACAGTTGAGCACTGTGCTGCTGGGTGAGGTGACAGTTGAGCACTGTGTGTGGGTGAGGGTGACAGTGAGCACGTGTGTGCTGGTGAGGGGGTGACAGTTGGCACTGTGGTTGCTGGGTGAGGGTGACAGTGAGCACTGTGCTGCTGGTGAGGGTGACAGTGAGCACTCTGTGTGAGGGTGAGGGTGACAGTTGAGCACTGTGCTGCTGGATGAGGGTGACAGCTGAGCACTGTGCTGCTGGGTGAGGGGTGACAGCTGAGCACTGTGCTGCTGGGTGAGGGTGACAGTTGAGCACTGTGCTGCTGGGTGAGGGTGACAGTTGAGCACTGTGCTGCTGGTGAGGGTGACAGTTGAGCACTGTGCTGCTGGGTGAGGGTACAGTTGAGCACTGGTGTGCTGGTGAGAGGTGACAGTTGAGCACTGTGTTTGGGTCTGGGTGAGGGTGACAGTTGACACTGTGCTGCTGGTGAGGTGACAGTTGAGCACTGTGTTGCTGGTGAGGGTGACAGTTGAGCACGTGTTGCTGGTTGAGGGTGACAGTTGAGCACTGTGTTGCTGGGTGAGGTGACAGTTGAGCACTGTTTGCTGGGTGAGGGTGACAGCTGAGCACTGTGCATGCTGGGTGAGGGGTGACATGTTGGAGCACTGTGTTGCTGGGTGAGGGTGACAGTTGAGCTCTGTGCTGCTGGTGAGGTGACAGCTGAGCACTGTGCTGCTAGGTGAGGGTGACAGTTGAGTCACTGTGTTGCTGGTGTGAGTGACAGCTGAGCACTGTGTTGCTGGGTGAGGGTGACAGTTGAGTCAACTGTTTGCTGGGTGAGGGTGACAGTTGAGCACTGTGTTCTGGTGAGGTGACAGTGAGCACTGTGTTGCTGGGTGAGGTGACAGTTGAGCACTGTGTTGCTGGTGAGGGTGACAGCTGAGCACTGTGCTGCTGGGTGAGGGTGACAGTTGAGCACTGTGCTGCTGGGTGAGGATGACAGTTGAGCACTGTGCTGCTGGGTGAGGGTGACAGAGCACGGCTGCTGGGCGAGGGTGAAAAGATGAATAGTGCGCTTGGTGAGCGTGAAGTGAGCACTGTTGCTGCGGGTGAGGGTAAAAGCTGAGCACTGTGCTGCTGGATGAGGTGACAATGGACTGGCTGCTGGGTGAGGGGTGGGAAACTGAGCACTGTGCTGCTGGGTGAGGGTGCATTGAGCACTGTTTTGCTGGGTGAGGGTTTAAATTGAGCCTGTGCTGCTGGGGTTGGGTGACAGTGAGCACTGTGCTGTGGGTGAGGGTGAGGGTTGACACTGTTTCTGGGGTGAGGATGAAAAGCTGAGCCGTGTGCTGGTGAGGGTGACAGTGATCAGCGCCCAGGTGAAATGGGAGGGAAGGTGAGGGGGGGTTGTGTTTTTTAGCGAACCTTACTGCAGGTGGTTTAATGTACCTATTGGTTCGAGGTGCACATGGTACGGGAGGGTGGGGAAACATTATGATAATTATTATCATTATTATTAGGGATTAGCTTAGCCTCTGGGTTCATTCAGCACCTGGAAAACTGAAGGTAAACAGATTTGATCCAAGCCAGGGAAGTGGCATGCAAAGAGTATGCTGTACTTTATTCGGCGTATGTGGAAACTCCCATATGGGCTGCCTCCCAACTAGCGAACCGGGTGCTAAGGGTTTAACGATAGGGTACCCGTCGTTAAATCAGTACCCTGGTTTATTAACGAATCACAGGCAAGCCTGCCAAAGCTGAGGCAACGTGGTCTACTTGCGGTAAGCATTGGCAGTGGTTGAGTACTGTGCGTGCTCTCTGGCTTCTGCTTTGCCATCTGTCACCGTGGTGTACACTTATTATTCTATCTGTACATATTG